AATCCGCGCCATTTCAAATGTTGGTTACCGCACTCATCTTAGTCCAATTTACCATAGCCTTCATATAATTAAAATAGTAGATCGAAGTGTTGAAATTAATGCACCAACACCACAACAAAAAAAACTACCTCTAGCATTCACCAACTATTTCGCGAAGCAGAGTGATGTGCACTCATATGGTACACGGTCCTCTGCAAGGTGCTCCTATTATGTTACTCGATTTTCAAACAGACTTACGCAAAACTCAATCAAATTTGTTGGTGTCAAATTATGGAATTCCCTTCCGAACAGTACTCGGACAATGAATTATAATTTGTACAAGCATGCCTTGAAAACTTTATATCTTGATTCTTACCAGTAGTCTGAAGAGACATTCTTGTGATGTGTCTGAAATATCATTTTACATACACTTTATCCATCTGTCGGTATGTTCTATTATATTACTGCATCCTCGTTCTGTCATTCCGGCATTCAGAAAGTTGTTATTAAGTGAAAATGATTTTTAAGCTTCTGTGGAAACTTGAGAGAATTATAAAACGTGTGAATTATTGTTCCCCAATTTTTGCAAGGTAACGTGATAAACAAATCAAATTGCGTCAACAGATATTGTGAAAAACGATTAAGTTATGCGATGAAAAAAACATCTCAATTTATTCTGACATATAAAAAAAACTGTTTCCGATATTTGAGACAGAACGCACTATCATTAATTAATCTGTCAACGACACGTCTCCCAATTTCTTAATATTCTATATATTTCCGTCTGAGTAAGTGCACTAATGATGTTTTGTGAACGTTAAACGTTTTAAGACGTTTGTTTCCTATGCTAGAAGTTAAATTAAGCAGAACTTTCACGACGACATGTAGTTCTACATGGTGACTCGCTATGCTACATGATACAAAGAAATTTTGCGAACCTCGTGTAAAATATTGTAGTTGAAATAGCTTATATGGCTAAAGCATTGTTTTTTATTTGGGTTGCGTTCGCTACTGCTTGCAAAAATTTCGGAACCATTTTTCGTTACATAAAAATAATTTCTGAAAATTCCAAATCAATTGGATATGTTTTAAATCTATCATATTGTTCCGTCAACAGCCAGAAATAATACTGCGCCCTATTTCCTGATTAGATGTATTACATCAGCTATGTATTATGAAATTCTATTCTTAGGTTAAATTTCTTAGGTTATATTATAACTACAGCGCGTGGTTTCCAAGTTCAATCTTTTGTCAGGCGGCTTTCATCCACATTTGAAAATTATTAATCTCAAACATTTTCTGTTACCTGCGGCTCTTTGAAGTGTAAAAGTAATAAAATGACTGGTAATGGCCAAAATGCAGAAAATTCAAATGGTGAAACAGTCAAACTTTAAATTTTAAGGAAAACTTCATCAGTATCAATCGCTATATATATTTCATACAGTATGAAAAATATTTAACTATTATTTGCTGATTCGATATAAAATTTTACAGGATCTTGCAGTGAAGGCACATTGATGACGTTGTTGTCTGCAAAAAGTAATGCGCTGAAGACACTTAGCTTGCAATATCCCGACGTTTCTGAATACGAACTTGCATCAAAATTAGTTGCATACACTTCAGAATACAGTCATTCTTCAGTCGAGAGAGCTTGTGAGTAGCGATTTCAAATTGAAATATTTATTGAAAAGTAAAACACTAAAATATCCAACATCATGAATCAAATTTGTTTCTAATTTATATAGGTTTATTGGGATTCACACAACTTCATAAAATACCAGTGGATAAAAACGTGTCTATGCGTGATGATAACTTGCAACGTGCAATAACAGAAGATAGGAATGCAGAAAAAATTCCGTTTTAAGTGGGAGATATTCTACTAACAAATTAAACATTCCTATGCTAATTTTAGGTCTTTACGTGTTTTCGCAAATTTTTATTACCTATTTATTAACATACATGTGCGGTGAAATGGGCAAAACAAATGTGCAAAAGAGAATAGGTTTTTATAAACATAACAAAACTGTTTTTCTGATATTCCATTAATTATCAATTTTTTTTGAAAAATTGTTTAGGTTGATCGATCTGTTCAGAATCATTCATGTTAGTGATGAAATCGGTTTCATTGTAACAAATTATAAAACAAATAAACAAATATTTTTAAGGTGTGTGCAACCCTGGGAACAACGTCATGTGTTTCATTCGACCATCTTGAAGAAATCGGACAAGTTTGTAAGAAATTTATTTTCTTCGTCACATTTTGGTTTACAGTATTTAAAATCTTTTTCAATATATAAGAGGTATGGAAATATTTTTATTTTTTTCAAACATGAAATAAACTATAATAAGGGTGGGCAACCTTTTTCAACTCGCGTGCCAAAATCGGCTAAATTTATTGACAAAATTCTTCCGTGTGCCGACCAAAATTGTCGATATTTTATTCAGTTGTTATGTCATAATATATTTCTTTGTAGCCATATGTCATGAAAGGACAAAACGAGTTTGAATATATATATAACGGATTGTAAGCAAACAATAATGAATAAACAGACACAGAGTTTCGTCAGATATTCAGAGTCTTGGAACTCTTGTGAAGGAGAATGATCTTGTTTCAGTGGTCTCACTCGCGTCATTTGATGTATACCAACAAGTTTATTTAAGTTTGAAATCATTGAAGGGTTAATATTGCTATATAAAACAAGCTTCAAAAAAAAGCATTTTCATAACATTTCAGGTTAAGCAGAAGATATAACCTGGTTGCATGTCGATGCCGCCTATGGCGGATGCAGCTTCATATGCCCGGAGTTTCGTCATCATATGAAAGGATTGGAGGTATGAAATTATCTTACGCTAAAATGTTCCATTTGACTAAACTTCAATATTTCGTCGCAAATGTATGAAGGCCAAATCAAAAATAAATTATTTCATTCACTCCTACTTTGCAGATTATTTTATTTGTGGTTTGTTTATTTAGTAAGCTTACAAACTTAAATCATTCGGCAGTCTTTGTTCGCCTGTCGGTTCTCATAGGATTAAATCAGGGTGGTCCGAACCGCGGCCCGCAGAACAATTTTAGCGTGCACTAAACCATTGGCAGATATTTATATTCATTGGCAGAGCATTTTTTAGTTATTTTAGATCACGGTTAATGTTGTATCTATAAACGTCAAGACGGTGCCAATATGAAAATGACGTCCTGTGATAAGTAGAAGGAGAATGAATTGTCTTGTGCAGAACCAATCCAATCGCGCTTTTTATCTAAACTTCGTGCTTTAAGCTCGCGTCAAGTAACTCCTCATTTGGAGAGACGTTTTATTGCTTTATTTTAGTAAAAACAATCTTCTATTTTCAAGCGTTCGCCATGTGACAGCGGTGACGAACCGCAGAACTGACTTAGTGCCGCACAATCTAGTTTATTTAGCTGGGTCCGGAGTCCCAACTCAGTCAAACACAACAATTCATCATACAATGAGTGTAATAAAAAACAAGTGACCGAGGTAAATTAAAGAAAACGTATTTCCTTACCCACAACAACGTTAAACCACAGTGTCTGGTGTGTTTTCAAATAATATCTGTCAACAAAAAATGTAATTTCATGCGACATTACAGAACCAAACTACTGGAATAATGGCTTTAAATTAAATTTTTATTGGTTGAAGCTTCTTGTTGTTTTAAAATTGCGTGCGTGGTTCCGTGGTCACATATCAGATGGTATACAACTTCGTTATGACTTTCGTATCCAATATATTTAAGCATCGCTCTCTTGTTTTTTTCTTTTTAGTACGCGATTCTATCACATGTAATCCACAGAAGTGCTTGATGATTAACAATCAATTTTCCGTTCTTTGGTAAGTAAGCTAGAAAGAGTCCGGTCGTGTTTTTGTTTTATATAATATGACAATTAAATTAATATTCAAGACATTCGCATAGATCAGCGGTTCCTAAAGTGGGCGAAAACGCCCCCTTGTGGGCGTTTGCCATAACTTGGGGGCGCTGATGGCGATTTGGGCAATTTTGGGGCGCTGGCTGTCAAACTGGGCAATTGGGGGGCGCTGAAATCAATACGGGAACTCACAAGAAGTATGATATTTCATGCCATTTACTCCTATGTTTTGGTTCAAACTAGTTTGCTTGTGATATCGGTGTTGGAAATTCTCGCTCAACGTAGAATAGATGATATGACTTTTTTTTAATCCGTATTTTTTCACAATGATACATAGCACATAGGGCATGCGCTTCCTCCTGGACTCTTTCATTTCCATGTCCCGATAGCACAAGGTGCGCTTCAGCAGAAAACTAAGTGGGTGGTTAAAATTTTGCGAAACTTCCGAGTATAATCATACGCAAACAGAAGTTCAAGCGCGAATAAAATGAAACATTTTTTTGAAGATAGTAAAGAAATTTTTGGTTACCGTTTCTTAGATAACCCTGATTTTCAGAAGCGAAAATGCACCACTTTCATTGGGTTTATACTTTCAAACTCATGTTCAGTGTTCCAAACTTTTCGGAACAAACAAATTGAAAAATCTTCTCGAGTGAGATAGGGTTGAAAGTTTTTTTATTGCTCTTGTCAGCTCATTTTTGGTAGAGCGAGTATTTAGTGCAGTGACCGCACTTTTAAATATCAAGAGTGATCCCTTGACAATGTCAGACGAGTAGACTCCAGACTGTTTTTGACTGAAATAAAGCCGGATATTATCAAGCTGAAGGGCATTTTACTAGGCTCAACCTTCACACATTTGACTAATGATAAATGAGGAATAAAGTTGCTTTGACTTTTTGTTAGGGGGGCGTTTGCTAGTTAAAAAGTCGTCCAAGGGGGCGCTGACAGAAAAACGTTTGGGAAACACTGGCATAGATAATATAGTGGGAAAGTATAGTATGTCACATCAAATTTATATCAAACGTCAAACTAGCTTATCGAAGTTTCAGCAATTTTCTAATTTAAAAAACATGCAAGTTATGTACAGTACATACTTGTGTATTGGTTACTAGACAATTCGTTTTGATGGACAAAAATTAATAATTTTTTCAGCACCTGTGAGAACTCATTGCATATTAACAAACTCAATATAACTCAGAAAATAAAGATAAAATGAAATGTTAACAATAAATATATTATAATATATTCTGTTCCCAAGTCTATCTGAGGTCTATTCTACCCGCTGCTCTTTGAAATTAAAAATCTCGGCTGTGAAAAAAAAAAAACTCTTGAGAATGCTGCAAAAGTTTCAAAACTAAAATTCATTATTTGAGTTATAATAATAAAGGTATTTTCACTAGGGTGAAAGACAGGAAAACGTATTTCAGAACCTTTTAAAGTTGGCCCGAGTTACGTTCGACACGACGATGAGGACGTCGTAATTGATTACCGGGTATGGTACTATGATATAATAAATTTTATGTCAAAATGACATTTGGGATATGACATTTGGGATATTTTGAATCTATTGACTTTGTGGGTGTTCTAAATTAATCTCCATTTGATTACAATCTAAGTTATATCTGCCAAACGTTGGCTGCATTTTGCTGCATTTTACTTGAACAGAAACAAATAATAAGACACCAAAAAATGTGAAAGCGTTAGTTGAGTTTTATATTTAACAAAAGGTAAAGAAACATATTTACTTCGTTACGTTACGAAATTACAATACGAATTCCTGTTTTCTGTATTATATGTTTATTGACTAAAAAACTGTTTGCATTTAGCCCTTGGGTGTTGGTTTCGGTTGGCGATTTCGTTCGCTGAAACCGTGGTTTGTTTTTCGTCTAATTGGAATTGAAGGTCTTCGCCACCGAGTGAGAGAATACGTAAAAATGGCAAAACTGTTTGAATCTTTCGTCAAGACCGACGATCGGTTTGAAGTTGTTTTCCCGGTGGAATTGGGAGTCGTTTGTTTTCGAATTGATAATTTACAAATACGATACAAAGGTGGGAGTTTATTGATTTACTTCACTTGAAGATACCTCAAATTTGGGAATGGGGGTGAACAATCGTCGACAACAAGAAGCATACATTTTAAGATGAAATCTCGGTTTATTTAATCTTTGAACAGGAATTTATGTTGTGATGTTTGAGCGTTCAATATTGATTAAGCTATGGCTATTTGATTTATAACTTTCTCACCATATTGAAATGAATCCCTTGTTGACCCTATTTTATTCATTTCAGAAAAGTAACATGATCAACAGACAACTGCTCAAACATATCAATGATTCAAAAGATATCTTCTTGATTTCTTCAGAAGTTGAAGGAATTTATTTTCTTCGAGTAGCTACCGGTGTTACTGCGTGTAACGAAAATGCCATCAGAAATTGCTGGAATGCCATTCTGAAACATGCCACTTCAGTCTTGTCAACATAGTTCGACATTTATATGAAAGAAACGACTGCATTTATCAAATATATATTCAAGAATTGTAGAAATTCGCATATGTAGCAGGCTGCAAAGAAAATTCTCAATTTTTTTTCTTGAATACAGATATATCTCCCATTATTTTGTATTGCTAGATTTTTGTGCTATTCAAACTATCAATGTGAGAATTCTTATTCCTTTTGCTGAGATTTTTAGAACTCAGAGAACTCAGATTTCAAAAATTTTGCTTTACCAAAATTTTTCATGTAAACGGAAATAAAAGCAATATTATAAAACATGTGTAAGTATCGGTAAACGAACACATAAGATCAGTCAACTGAAATGGCAAATAAAAAATATCCACGACTTCATTGAGCACCCAGTACTTGTCGACGCATGTGGGCGCAAATGAGTTTAAGCTAATTGAAAGAGGTAATCGGGACAGTTTGTCCAATATTGATAATGCGTCTCGTCTCAAATATCGATTTATCAAGTGACATATTATACTAGATAAAAAAAAGACTAAAACCGACCCACATTCAGCAGCAATCAGCCATTTAACCTTTCAGGCACGACAATAACGAGTTGAAATATAATAAGCCAATCAATTACTGCGTTAAGCTTCTTTTAAAAATATCGGTACTGGGAATGGTTCGATTCTAAAGGTTTCATATACTAAGACTTTTATACTGGAGACCAGATTGCTAAAACACGAGGTAATTATAAAAGGAAAGACTCCTACAAAATAATTGTACTTTTATCGTTGTTCAAAACTCAAAAAGATTGGGACTTTTGGGACCCAGAAATGTTAAGTCGCTTTTCCAGACTTATTTTATTAAGAATATTCAAAACGGTTGACTAAAATACAAGTGAAATGAATAGCATCAAATAAATCAAAGACAAATGATACAGAATATAAAACTAAGGGGCTCCCGAAGTATGCGAACCAAGATGGCGGACATCGGAATGTAACATGTGTATAGGTTAGGGTTAGGCCATAATTTTAGGTATAAATACTACGGGAGGCTCTTGGCTAGTCTTCGAACTGATAATAGGACTAAAATAAGGAAAATTGGAAAGAAATTATCGCCTAACCCTAACCTGTTACCCATGTTACGTTCCGATGTTCGCCATCTTGGTTCGCATACTTCGGGAGCACCAAAACTAATACTCACACAAAACAACTCCATATAACAGAATAGTCCCAAAACGACAGATATACAACCAAGGTAAAACAGTATCTATAAATGCAATACAATACGAGCTGTAGACATGCAAATATCATATTGTTATATCGAACAATTCGAAATACAGTATAAATGGAGACTAATAAATGAATTCAAACCTCAACGCTATCTTAAACTGCCATAACAAGAAATGAAATCCTGAACTGCTACCACCAGAAATGCAATCCTAAAATCTCACCGAGCTTAGAGGGATGATGGTGTAAACTCAATACGTAAAACGATGACACGTGAAAGACAACAAAGGCGACACGTCGGATGCAAGAAAAGCAACACAGTAATGATGACGACGACGAAACAGCGGTAATCATCACGATGACGATATACAATAGAAGGAACCCGAACTAAACTAAAACTTAAGACCGCACAGACTGCCGACAAATAAAATATTCAATTCACGATTTGCGGCTTTCTCAAAGAATTTTTCTTTGGTGCTCCCGAAGTATGTGAACCAAGATGGCGGACACCAGAACGTAGTATGTGTACCAGGTTAGGGTTAGGCCATAATTTCAGGTACAGATACTACGGGAGTCACTTGGCTAGTCACCGAATTTGTAATAGAACTAAAATAAGAAAAATTGGAATAAAATTATAGCCTAACTCTAACCTGGTACACATGCTACGTTTCGGTGCCCGCCATCTTGGTTCACATACTTCGGGAGCACCAATTTGTTTTGTAAAAAAATTTTGCAATATACAAACCGAAATGAGACAAACATGAGTCATATATTCCTGGAAGTGATAACCACGGCCGATCCTGTATCTAGTTCGATTCTTGGAGTCTTCTGACTGACAATTGGAAAAAGCCAAACTGCGCCGTTTTTCCTTTTATGTACGCTGTTTATACGTCAGTTACGCTCCCCACGAATCATGTATACGAAGAATGCTGTCACAGCTTTCGTTTACCACAATATTTGCACATCTTGGCCTGAGCCACCCACTCTAACGTACAATATTATTTTATTATTCTCTAAGAGACCTAGTTACCTCACAATGGTATGATTGTGAACCTGCCTCAGAACTGTTATCTCCAGGGTTACTACTTAGATTGTCGGTGATTGCCTCATCTAGTTATACCAAGTCGCGTTGAAGTATTTAGTGCTTATTTTATTTAACATATACATCTCGACCTTTTTCTATTATTTCCTGTTAGAATTTTTTAAAAGTGTCGCTGCTCGATAAACAGTATTGATTTTCCGCGTCTCCATCGTGAAATGCGGTTTTTAATAAACTAATTGTAATTTATATGTCTGAAACGTATTTTCAGCGTGGTGAAAAAATAAACTACTGATTACCGACGGTAGACAACATTTTGGTATAATATTGTAGTAATGCTATCTCTATTCCCGTTTAAAAATTACAATATCAAACTGTTGTTTAGTTTTGCTTTCGAATATGGAATATCGTAAAAGATTAGAAACAGTACACAAAATGTGCTAAGCAAAAAAATTATATTGCTTCACAATAACAATACAAATGACAATTACATTGCTTATTTAATATTTAATAGAAATAATGTATTGCCATTGAATAACAAAATCAAATCAAGATCTTGTTAAATGCTAAGCATTGCAACAAATACATCAAAAAGATTGGCATGATATGAAATAATTTGTAAACTAATGTAAGATGGTCAATTTTCAACGGAATGGAGTGATAAGTAATTCAAACGACTCTATCCGTGTGTATTCAATTAAGTACGGGAATTACGAAGATGTATTGCTTCAAATCTTACAAATACAGTTTATTGTTAATTGTAACACGTAGGAACTGAACTGAAAACTGCCACTGCCACTGAAGATATAATGAACGTCACTTTATTGTATACAAATTGTTAGATTTTGATCGATCCTACTATATTCAATCCTGCGTGTCGTTGCACTACAACAATTTACAGGTCGGTGGCTTTGTTTTTGTTCGTTGACTCCTGGGGTAATCTCTGGACTAATCGAATTAAAGGGAACTCGTGTTCCTAGGTAGGTCTAAGTCCAATTTACAAAAAGTTCGTGCTTTCAGCTCAGGTCTGTTTATGATTACTTCAAGATACCACGCATCCCACAGCTTCCATGGCACTATACGTTTCCGTGGCACCAGTGACGCCGACGGCAATTTCATTATACGTTTCTGTGGCAGCAGTGACGCCAACGGCAATTTCCCTGTACGTATCCGTGGCAGCAGTGACTTCAACGGCAATATTCCTGTACGTTTCCGTGGTAGCAGTGACGCCAACGGCAATTTCCCTGTACGTTTCCGTGGCAGCAGTGGCGCCAACTCCAATTTCCCTGTACGTATTCATGGCACCAGTGGCACCAACGGCAATTTCACCATGCGTATTCATTTCTGAAAATCCATTCTGTGATGCGTAATTTTCTTCATTGTCACGGAAAGCATTGACTACGTTCCCTAAGTCAATATTTCCATTTATGTTTGTTTGAACTTTTTGTTTCTGGATATAATTTCCAGGATTCCTTCTTTTTTGATTTCGCTGCTTTTGTTCTGCTTTTTGACGATCTTCTCGGCGTCTATTTTCCAGATATCGCTTCTCCTGTTCAGATCTTCGAAGTTCTTTCAGACGTATTTCTTCCTGATAGCGCTTCTCTTCTTCTGCTTTTCGAAGCTTTTCTAAACGTATTGCTTCCTGATAGCGCTTCTCTTCTTCAGCTTTTTGAAGCTCTTCTTGACGTCTTTGTTCTCGAACTCGCTGCTCTTCTTCAGCTTTTCGAAGCTCTTCTTGACGTATTTGGTCTCGAACTCGCTGCTCTTCTTCGGCTTTTCGAAGCTCTTCTTGATATCTAGCTTGATACTGCTGCTCTTCTTCGGCTCTTTGGAGTTCTGCTTTATATCTTTTTTCTTGATATCGCTGTTCTTGAGCAGCTCTTCGTTCCTCCCAATATCTCTGCTCCGACGCTGCCCATCGTTTAATTTTGTCCTGTTGATTTTCGTTTTTATCTAGTATTTTATTTTCCGTCTGATCATTGACCTCATTGGTCTCCGGTACGACGTCATATTCTATAGCTTTTTGTATTTCTGTAATATCATCTGTTTCATTTTCTTCACCTCTCCGAAGTTCTTCTAGAAATCTTCTTTCCCGATATCGCTGCTCTTGAGCAGCTTTTCGTTCCTCCCAATATCTCTGCTCCGATGCTGCCCATCGTGTTAGTTTCTCCTGTTGCCTTTCGTTTTCACGTAAATTTTCTTTTTTGTCAGAAGCATCATCAGCCTTTCGGGCAACCCCTTTTTTTATCGTTTTCTTTCGTTCCGCCATAGTTATTTGATCTTGATATTTTTGTTCTTTATTAGCCTTTTGCATTTCCCAATATCTTCTCTCCGATTCTGCCCAACGTTTGAGTTTTTGCTCTCTCGTTTCGATTTTAGTTGCGGACGGCGAATTATTGCCGTATGAATTATTCTCCCCTTTTTGCTCCCATCTACTTTTGATTTCTTTAAATGAACCCTGCTCGATCTCAAAATTCATATTTTCTTCTTGTTTGTTTATGATCACTGACGTCAAGTTAGCCTATGCCCAAATGCTATTTTTAAATATTAATACATTAGCATATTATAAAACTCGTCCAAAATACAAATAGTGAAAATCACACGTAGAAATATTAACGTGTGTTTATCATTTACACTTTAAAAAATGGCCTGTATTATTTTATCGTACTAGACGTTGGTACGAATAAACCACACTTGGAAAATATTATGAAATGTCAGCAGTTGCATCGTTTAATTAATATTCGTCAAACACTTTTAAAAATGTATCCATACACTCTGGATAAGATGCAAACCAATATGGGATAATCTAGATTGAAAATTATTTTCTAATTAATGGCTAGAAAAAAAACTTTATAGGCATTAGGTTAAATATTTATTAAATAACTTAATGACCTAAAACCATAAAAATTCCAAACACCTGATTTAAATTCTTCGACAAAAATCGCACAACGTCGCTACGCTGTCATTTTAAAGTCAAACTGCTTCATAGTTTACAGTGTCATCCTCAAAAGACAGTTAAGCTATATTTTCTTTGATAAATAGATACGGTTGACACTTTTATAAACACGAGGACGACATAATGGCTCTATATCTTTGCAGAGATAGCAATTAGTTTGTGTTCTTTCACTTTAATGTTTATCGACAAACAAGGGTAGCAAGTACTGTTGTCAGAAAATATGTGTGTACACAACGCATATGGAAGTCAAGTTCTCAAGGAAGAAGTACTTCGATTATCGTACTCAATTTATTAAACATCGACAGTATCGACTTCGATTTGCTTAATTTTTTCTGTACTGCCTAAAATACTGCTTTTGTACTGCTCACAACTACGAATCGTTGTAATTGTATTTAATTAATTTTCAAACAATATTTACAAGATCCATGGCATCAAAAATATAAGCATATAATTATAATCAATTTTTCGTTGCTTATAAGTTGTAAAAATAATTATTTTTCATTTAATCCAAAGTAGTAATGAATAGGAAAGAATAATATTTTGATGATTTGAACTAGATTAGTAGATTGGACATTTAACTTTATTCTACTTGCCATGCTATTATAAACAAGAGAAAGCAATGATCAACTATATAAATACAAAAGTCAAAAAACTGCGGCAAAGGAACCTGCTTTGCGATGAAATTATCATATTTTCAGCGCCCTTTTTGAATATGCTTTCGTTCTAATGACAAATGTGGTGTTTGTTTAATATATCTGATATATTAGAAGTGTGCAACACTGGAGTGAGACATTTATCGGGTCTATGTGACGTCAAGTCTACTCAGTGCGATATTTGTAAAGTACTTATCAATTTTATGCTTGCTATAGAAATATAAATAAATAATGTATGTCGTATTTTATTCAAGAAATACCGCTTGAATTGGATAAAAACGGCAAAATGAGGCAATGTTGCCTGCGGATCATGTATTTTTCCGCTGTCATGATCGCATATGAATTTTATTGCATTAGTCTGATTTGAATTCTATAAACTTTGACCTTTGAGACTGACGGACATGACATGTTGCATCCACATTGGTAACAACGACCGGTCGAGCATCAGGTTCGCAGAACAAACCGACGGGCTAGTAAGACGGAGGCACTCACGCTTGACAAAATACATCATTTTATAAGCACGAAGTTCAAATTACTACATCAATTAGCCTTACAATGTTACGCTTTTTGCAAGAATAACGTCGCCATTTATTCACAAGTGGCGGCAAATTTACACTTTACAATTTGAGCTACATAACGAAGCTGCGCAACAAACTGGAAGAAGAAAGAAAGAAATGACCCGGGCTTGGTTATATCAACAATTTTCAACAATAAGTGCCCAGCTGATCAGTAGACAGTCTATCATGACCATTCAAGTGAAGATGGCTATACTGTGTAATTAATATCGTTTTGCTGCGCATTAGTTGCAATGAAGATGGAAGCCGACTTTCAAGCATTCATAAATATTTGCAAAAAAGGTTCTGCGTATTTCTAATTCAAAATTATTATTCTCGCTAGTTAGTCGTTTCCCATTTTCTAAAATAAACCGAGATTTTGCAAAAAAAGCAGCCAAATTATGAATGTTTTGGAAAATGAATTTAAGTGTAAAAAATTGCTTAAAATTTTCTGCGAATTTCTATTAACAAAATGATTGTTTTCGCTAGCTAACCGTTTTTATTTTCCAAAATTAGTCGAGGCATTGCGAAAACATGCCCCTAAATTATGACTATTTTAGGAAATCAAGTTTTCTGTTAAGTACTGCTTGAAACGTTGCGCGAATTTCGACCTCCAAAACAACTGCTCTCGCTAGCTAGTCGTTTCCAATTTCTAAAATAATCCGTTTTTATAAAAACAGCTCACACTTTATGAATCTTTTGGAAAATAAAATAAGTGTGAAGAACTGCTTAAAATTTTCTGCGAATTTCTATTAACAAAATGATTATTCTCGCTAGCTAGTCGTTTTTATTTTTCAAAATTAGTCAAGGCATTCCGAAAACCTGCCCCAAATTATGATTAGTTTAGGAAATGGAATTACGTGTAAGTACTGTTTGAAACGTTCCGCGAATGTCTATTTCCTCAAATGTTGTTCTCGTTAGCTAGATTCGAGCCAAAATTTTGCAAGAGCTGCTTCACATTATGAATATTTGGGAAAATTAAATAGGAGATTCTCTTTATTTAAACCTAATGACCCACATTAATTTCCCCCCCCCCCCCTTTTCCAATGATTGATCAATGCCCAAGCTTAATAATATTAATTGGGGTTTTTTATTAATAGTTAATCATTTTTCAAAACTGTTGGAAACCGTAATTCACCGTAATTTCAATACTGTTAATATTCGATTTCACTGCAAGTATTAGTTTGAGCTACAACGCGAGATAACTCTATCTAGACTTGATCTATTAGTTTGACAGATTTGTATTCATGTAAACTAAATTAGCCTCTAATCAGTAATGAAGTCTTAAACTTGCTTTTTCGATTGCAGATAACACGCTATAACACACTTGTTACATTCCTATTATTAATAGGTTTTATATATAGGACACCAAAGTCCTAGAGACAATGCTCCGGGCTTGGTTATATCAATAATATGTCCCCAGCTAATCAGTGGGCAGTCTATCAAGACAATTCAAGTAAATATGACTGTGTATATACCATATAATAATGTATACACATACATACTGCGTGAACAATAGCGTTTTGCTGTGCATTAGTTACAATGTAGAGTAGAGCCGACTATCAAGCATTAAGAAATATTTGCGAAAAAATTCTGCGTATTTATAAGTCCAAATAATTGCTCTCGCTAGCTAGTTGTTTCCCAATTTTCTAAAATAACCCAAGTCTTTGCAAAAACAGCTCACAAATTATGAATGTTTTAGAAAATAAAATAGGTGTAAAGAACTGCTTAAAATGTTCTGCGAAATTATATTAATAAAACGATTGTTCTCGCTAGTTAGCCGTTTTATTTGCAATAGAGAGGCATTGCGAAAACATGCCCTCAAATTATGTTATTTTTTTTTTAGGAAATAAAATTAAGTGTTAAGTACTGCTTGAAACGTTCCACGAATTTCTATTTCCGCAACCATTGTTCTTGTTAGTTAGACGCACTCCAAAATTTTGCAAGAGCAGCTTCACATTATGAATATTTCGGAAAATAAAATAGGAGATTCTCTTTATTTAACTCAACCTAATGACCCTCGTTAATTTTGCCCTTTTTCATTGATTACCAAATGCCCATGCTTAGTAATAATAGATAGAAACATTTGCTCATATTAAGGTTTTCTATTTATATTCATTTATTTCCTCAATGCTGTTATAAAGCTTCAGTTTAATTACTTTCAATATTTGATTTCACTTTGGGTATTAATTTGAGCTACAGCAGGGGATTCTATCTAGTCTTGCTGTATTAGTTTGACAGATTTGTAGACGTATAATAATGCAAGGACGTTGTAGCCAGAGATAAATTGAACTATTAAGCAAAATAGGAACTAGTCCAGGGCATCAAATTAATGGTGTACCGAAGGGCGATTCAGACCCCAATAGCAGCCCGTTTGAAAAAAAATTCTTGTTTTTTTAGCTATCGCCACCTGTATAAATGTTTGTAGGTATGAGATGAGAACTATTTCGAAATAATATTGTGGAAATTAAATTAGAATTCAATCACTAATGAAGTCTGAAACTTGCTCTTTCAATTTCATATAACACGGAACACTAGTTAAATTCCTATTTTCAATATGTTTAATATAGCAAAGTCTTAGCTAGAGGGAATGAATCGGGCCTGAATATATCAACAATATGCCCCCAGAAAATCAGTGGGCAGTCTGTCAGGACCATTCAAGTAAAGATGACTGTGTATATACTATATAATAGTTATACTATAGTTAATAGAAACCATTAATAGTAGTTGATAGCGTTTTACTGTGCATTTGTTACAATGTGGAGTAGAGTCGACTAAAAAGCATTCAGAAATATTTGCGAAGAACGTTCCGTGAACTTTTACCTCCAAAACATTGGTTCTCGATAGCTAGTCGTTTTCAATTTTCTAAAATTAGTCGAGTCTTTGCATAAAAGCTCACAAAATATGAATGTTTCAGGAAATGAAATCGGTGTAAAGTACTGCTTGAAAAGTTCCGCGAATTTTTACCTCCAAAACAATTGTTTCTGCTAGCTAGTCGTTTTTTATATTATTAAAATGGTCCGAGTGTTTGCAAAAACAGCTCACAAATTATGAATATTTGAAAAAAAAAATCAGTGTAGGGTAGCCTACTGCTTGAAACGTTCCGCGAATGTCTATTTCCTCAAATGTTGTTCTCGTTAGCTAGATTCGAGCCAAAATTTTGCAAGAGCTGCTTCACATTATGAATATTTGGGAAAATTAAATAGGAGATTCTCTTTATTTAAACCTAATGACCCACATTAATTCCCCCCCCCTTTTCCAATGATTGATCAATGCCCAAGCTTAATAATATTAATTGGGGTTTTTTATTAATAGTTAATCATTTTTTCAAAACTGTTGGAAACCGTAATT